GCCTTGGGCAACAGCGGCGGCTGATGCAGCCGAGGCGTAGACGCGCGAGCGTCGCCTCCTCAGCGCCGCGGCCACCTCGCCACGTCGGCGCACCCCTCGCGCGCTTTGCGGCCCCATGCGGAGCTCCGCAGAAGCCCCGATGGATGCGGCCGCGCGCCGCCAGCTCGACATGCCGGCGCATGCCCATTCGTTGCGGGGCCCCAGGGGGACTTCTACCGAAGGCTCCAGTGACCGCATGCCACGCGCTCGCGAAGTCGGCGCACCCCGCGCAAGCTTCGTGGCCCCGCAGGGAGATCCGCCAGCGGCGGTCGCATGATCATCGCCATCGCCAGCGTCGCCATGATCGGCATCGTCGCAAGCACCATCATGACCATCATCTTCACCGCCATCACCATCGACGCGGCATCGGTCCCTGATCGGATGAAGCCATGAAAGACGGGACGGGCTGACATTTTCCCCGCGCAAGTTTGGCCTGTTTCCCCGCGACGCACTCCCAGTGCCAGCGCAACTCCAAGCAAAGCGCCAGATAGCATTAACTGTCGGCCGCGGCCCCTTCGCGGCCCACGACCTGTTTGCGTGCTTTGCGGGGCCTGCCCGCCACGTTCCTCGCCACCGTCTGGGCGTTGGCCGACTTCGGGGCCCCCGTGACCCTGGCCGTGTAAGCCGTTTTGCCAAAGAGCGCCCGCTTCTTGCGCAAGTCCTGCAGGTCCAGAGACCGCAGCTTCTTGCGAAGCCAGCCCCAGAAAATCTCTACTGGGTTTAGATAAGGGGCGTTCGGGAGGCACGCTCCACAAGGCAATGCCCCTCTTCCTGTACGCCCCCATGCTGACCTTGGCCCTGAGGAACCCCTCGTTACCGCAGAGGATGGTCCATGGCCCTCTCTTCCTCTTCGGGTTCAGTGCGCGCAGCGCAGCGGTCACTTTCCCATCCCTCACCGCCTGGGACCAATCCTCCCTGTTGGTTTTCTTGCTGTCCAGATGCCAGAGCACCGCGGCAAAGCCATCCTGCGACGCGCATCCCCATAGAGGAATCGATCTCGACAGCGGGACCTGTCTGTCGTACTCATCGGCCCCCGCCAGCGCAGGCGCGTTCGCCTCGGTCTTCCTCCTCCACATGTGCGCTGCACCGTCCCAACTATAACTGAAGCGATCGGGCCCCTTGCCTGGCGGCATGGGCAGCGCGACGCCGTCCATGAACATGCCCAGCTTCGCGCGCAAGTCCTTCTTGCTCAGGAGCACGGCGACGAAGGCGCGGGCGGCAGCGGCCACCATCGAGACAGGCGTGGCGACGCCTCCGCGCATCCCGATGCAGGCGACCTCCAGACCTCAACGGGCCAGCGGCCTTGGGCCACAGCGGCGGCTGATACAGCCGAGGCGCAGACGCGCGAGCGTCGCCTCCTCAGCGCCGCGGCCACCTCGCCACGTCGGCGCACCCCTCACGCGCTTCGCGGCCCCATGCGGAGCTCCGCAGAAGCCCCAGCGGATGCGGCCGCGCGCCGCCAGCCCGACATGCCGGCGCATATCCATTCGCTGCGGGGCCACAGGGGGGGCTTCTACCGAAGGCCCCAGTGACCGCATGCCGCATACTCGCGATGTCGGCACACCCCGCGCAAGCTTCGTGGCCCCACAAGAAGATCCGCCAGCGGCGGTCGCATGATCATCGCCATCGCCAGCGTCGCCATGATCGGCATCTTCGCAAGCACCATCATGACCATCATCTTCATCGCCATCACCATCGACGCGGCATCGGGCCCTGATCGGATGACGCCATGAACGACGGGACGGGCTGAGATTTTCTCCATACGATTTCTACTACAACTACTACTGCTCCTACTGAGACTACTACTACTACGACTACTACTACTACTACTACTACTACTACTACTACTACTACTACTGTTCCGACGACGACGACGACAACTACTACTACTACTACTACTACTACTACTACAACTACTACAACTACTACTACTACTACTACTACTACTACTACTACCACTGTTCCGACGACGGCTACTACTACTACTACTACTACTACTACTACTACTACTACTCCTACTCCTACTACTACTACTACTACTACTACTACTACTATTACTACAACGTCCGAAGCTACGGCGACGACCTCGTTTACGACTGAGACTACGACTACTACTGCGACTACTACTACCACCAGTATTACCACTACTACTACCTCTACTACTACTACTACCACTACTACTACTACTACTACTACTACTACTACTACTACTACTACTACTACTACTACTACCACTACTACTACTACTACGACTACTACTACTACTACTACTACTACTACTTATAAGACTACGACCACGTTTCCTACTACTACTGCTACTACTACTACTACTACTGCTACTACTACTACTACTACTACTACTACTCTGAATACTACTACCATTACTGCTCCCATTGCTACCATAACGGCTGCTATAACTACTACTAATATTATTACTGCTCCTCCTGCTAGTACGGCTTAT